AGCCCCCCGGGCCCCAGCCGAGCCTGGCCACAAGGGTTTCAGAGCTGTTAAGACGCGCTCAGGGCTCTCACGGGCAGGAGACGCGGCCCAGGCTGGAAGCGAGCGAGTTCTGCTGCTGCTCCTCATACCTCTCTTGGAACAGGCACGTCCTCGAGCAGGGAACAGCACCGAGGAGAACCCAGGCTCTCCCTGCCCAAGCCCTGGGTGCTGCTGTTTGACACCCAGCCCCATCCCTCCACGCCGCACAGCCCCACAGCCCCGACGCACTCGGCCCTGGCCCGGCCACCTACCTCCTCTGTTGACGTAGAGGCCCTCCTCGTGCTTCTCGTCTCGCAGGGCCTCGCTGAGGAGCCCCACGGCCTCCTCGAACAGGCCCAGGGCGTAGCAGTGCGCGGCGCAGTCGTTGTGGGTGAGCACCAGCTGCCGCTGGGCCTCGCGGGCCTCGGGGCCGCCCGCGGCCGCCAGCGCCCTGGCCCTGGCCAAGTCCTCACGAGCCGCGCTGAACTCCTGCAGCCGGCGAAGGAGGGTCCCTCTGCGCGACAGGGACAAAAGCGGCCGTGCTGAGAAGCCCTGGTTGCAGCTGGTTGCTCCCCAGCAACACGTCCGCTACCTCAGGACGAAGAGGTCGGCAGCCGAGGGGTCGTTCTCGATGGCGAAGCTGACCTTGAGCAGGGCTCCTTGCAGGTCGCCACACAGGGCCTTGCTCACCGCCTCGGCCTTGGCCTCCCGGCCCCGACTCAGCAGCCTCTGCTTGAGCGCGTGGGCAGCTCCATGCTGCGGCTCCAGCTCCAGGGCTCGCTGGATGTCCTGGTGGCACAGGGCCGGCTGCCCAGGACACGGCACCATCAGGGCCTGGCACGCTCCAGAGCGTCCCCAAGCACCAAAAGGCCACCTGGGGTCCCTTGCACAGCCTGGGCTAGTGCTAAGCTCTGCATATCCCAGGTCCACCAGGGCTTTCCAATAGAGCCGGCTCTAAACTCCAGTCTCGGAGGGGCAGGAACCCCCTCTCCCAACAGGCCATGAGGGGACATGATTGCTGACAGAGCCCGGATCAGACCAGGGTCTTCTCATGCCTCCCGCTTCCCAGGCACATCACAGCTCCCTGCACGAAGGCATCCCCTAATTCCCAAAATCCTAAACAGCTTCACCCAGTCAAGGCTGTTCCAGAGGCCCCTGGCAGAGTCCCCACGCAAGGGGCGCCATGGCCCCTTCCATGCGGGCAGGGAGGCAGCACAACCTGCCCAAAGCGCTCGTAGAAGGAGGCCCGGAGCACGTAGAGGTCGGGGTTCCTCGCGTCTTCCTCCACGTCTCTGTTAAGCGTCTGCAGACACTCCGGGAACTTGTTGAGGGCGGCGAGACACGCGACGCTGCGGGCAGGAGGGCAGAGCTGCAGGGAAGGCGCCGCAGCGGCCGCCGCGCTCGGGGCCGCCCCGCGTTACCTGCCCTGGCGCAGCGCCCTGCAGCGCGGCTGCAGCTCCGCCGCCCTGGTGAAGGCCTCCAGCGCCTCGCAGTACAGCTCCTGCTCCAGCAGGCATCGGCCCTGCAAAAACAGCCCGGGATTCGGCCCCAGGCCGGGCGCACGCATGGGCATGGGACGGGGGGGGGGGTCTCACCTGCAGCTCAAGGAGCAGGGCCAGGCGCCGCAGGCAGCGCTGGTGCTGCGTGGGGGCCAGGGCAAGCGCCTTCCTCATGTTCAACACGGCCGACTGGAAGTCGCAGAGCTGCAGAAAGGCCTCTGCCCGCTGCTGGTAGAGCTCTGCCTGTGCCAGGACACCCGCAGCGCAGGTCGGCCCCGACCTCGTCCTGCTCGAGCTCCCCCAGCCCTGGGGGGACCCTTTACCCTTTGCGGATCCAAGCTGATGGCTTTCGAGTAGCAGATGATGGCTTCCTCCCACCGGCCGCAAGAGGAAAAGTCCAGCCCTTTCTGCCAGCTGCAGAGGAGAAAACAGATCAGGTCAGGTCCAGCCAGGTGCTCCCGGGCTGGGGGACCGTCACACAGCCTCCACCAGGGCCTAACCAGAGCCAACCCCAGGGGCTGCGGGGAGGGCAAGGGACCACGTAGCCCCCCTGCCCTGATGTCCCCTCAGGGACTGACTCCGGCCAAGGGTGGTTGAGAGCAGGACATGACAGGCACAAACAGGGCAACGTGGGCACTTACTGCTCCTGCACCCTGTCCCGCACGATGGCAGGGAGGCCTCGCTCCTCCCGGGGCTCCTCGATGCTGTGCAGACACTGCCGGGGCCCGAAGATCCTCCGCAGGGACCTCTCCCTGCCCTCCTGCAGCTGCTCCTCTGGCACCGCAGTCACGAACAGGCTCCCCGTGTCCATCGCGGTGCCACCTGCGGGGACAGCGCTGCTGTCCCCAGCCCCACAGACCCCCATTCCTCCCTCTGCCTTTGCCCCCTCCACTTCACCCACCACTCACCCCTGGGCCTCCAACTCCCCCAGTGTCACCCTGGCTGCGTGCAGCCCCCGGGGCTGCGGAAGGGAGGTCTCACCTCGCTCTGCCCCGGCAGGAGCAGCTGCCTGGGACCCCTGCACTCCCTCCCGGCGTTGCTAGGCAGGAACACGGAGGGCATCCCCGGAGAGCACCCCAGGACAAAGGGACAGGGAAGGGCCATGGTGTCCCCAACAAGGCGCTGCAGCACCACGGGCTCCCATTTCCACCTCCCACCAGAGCCAGGGCTCCACGCGGTGCCCCGCAATGGGCCCTGCCGCAAGCCCGGACACGCAGCAGGCAGCTGGGTGCATCTGCCCGCTGCCCTTGCAGG